GTGTGTGTGTGTGTGTGTGTGTGTGTGTGTGTGTGTGTGTGTGTGTGTATGTGCTGTGCTTATGTCCACATGCTTACGTGACTGCACATATGTGTGGTTTGTAAGAAAGTCTGTAAGAACAATGTATCAAAATGTCAGCAATCTAAAAATTAAGTTGTCAGCCTTTCTTCCATCCTGCAAATTACAAAGGAATTAGGGGTTTGGAGCTAATAGAAGCTTCCAGTCCTACAGTGTGCAATTTAACCAGTCATCGCAAGGCCTAACAACACAGCACAGAAGACATTTCACAAGTGATCTGCAGTCCTAGCACCTAATTTAGACTTCTCTTCCTCTGCTCCTCTCGTGTTACCCCCCCCCCCCCCCCGGCTCCCTGCTTCAGAAGTGTATCCTGGAATAGCCCCACCATTCAGTAAGAACCGCCCTGGCCCCCTATACCCTGACCACATCATCGTGAAAGCATGGCAGCCATCTTTTCAGAGAGCCACACTGAAGGTGCCTGTGGCTCATTTACCATTCTTCCCTTTACTGCTGAGGTCTCACTGAGTTCATAATCAACAGCAAATGTGCTTTGTAGGTTCTGAACCCGAGCACTCTTCTTTTCTCTCATTACACACTGGTTTGGACAAAACGTGTCTCCACAGTAGAATTGTACACGGATGAAAAATGTCAAACTATAAAATAATATTAGCAAATAAAGCAAAGTTATAATGGAAATCAGTTACCCTTGAATCATGAAAGATATCTTCTACAATTTTGAAATCTCTAGCTTTTCTATTTTTTTTCCCCAGTTGCCAACGGCAAGTGCATCACATAAAAATAGATAACAGCATTGCCTACTCAGGAAGCAATAGGTACTATATATTTTAAAGACAACCCCAATAATCTAACCCAAAATGTAAGTAGAATGTTATTGGTATAAACAGGAGGAACTATTGACTTAATAAATTAAATTAATGACTCGCTTGGTTCTTTAATTTTTAAATGACCCTTAAAAAAAAACACAGCATTTTTTATGTATCAGAAATAATAGTCAATGTTTTTTTTTTACTACTTCACCAAAAATCTCTGATCTTTGAGACAAATTTTCCTACGTCCATACAATACCTTGTTGCGCAGTTCAATGTGAGAGTCTCATTCAATCACCAGGCAAAGTTAAAGGCAGGAGTAGGCTTCAAATGGCTCTGCAGGCCCCACCCTTGTTTCCTTTGAGCCATAGTGATGTCACAGCCCCTGCCAGAGCAATGACCTCACTGCTCCATGCCCTGCTTCTGGGGACATAAGCCTTTATAGCCAGGACAAATGAAACACGACAGCAGAGCCCTCCAAAAGCCCTGAGTATCTGATGAATTCCCAACAAATTAGCAACCAGTGAGCCTTTTGAAAGGAGGTGTCGGTACCATCACACCACTCAGGGTCTCTCTCTTGACGAAGTGGCTGAGCATAAACTTGATTCATGGGTTTCAGTGGGGAATCTATATTCCATAGGAAAGCTGACATTCAAAGAGAACTGTGATGGGTACTTGGGCAAGACTATGAGAACAGAATTAAAGATGACAGGGTAGCCTCCTTAAGAAAACTCTCTTCGTTATTCTTGAATCTCACCAAAAGAAACCATTCCCCAGGCTGCTCTTGGAGTCCATTTTCACCGGCATGTAAGCCATAGATTCTCACTGATCAACTGGAGAACTTTTAAAGCACTGACTTAAAAAAATAAATGCTGTGTCAATCCCTCCATAGTCGCTCCAACGCAGCCAGAAAAACAAGAGCAGCAGCCTCTCTCTGAGGACCCAGGCAGTCTCCTCTCCTGTTTCAGTGCACGCTTAGTGTGCTTTGTCATTGGGTTTTTTAAAAAAGCAACACACACACACACACACACACATATATAATAACACACACATAATATGTGTATGCATATATAATCACATATATAACAACATACATAATCACACACACACACATATCATCACACTGATCCAGTCAGAAAAACAAAAACAAAAACCCTCATCTTGTTGTATATCCACATAAGTCAAAGTTGGCCTCGGTTCAAGCACCCAACAAGAACTGACAAATGCACTTTCTAATCTAAACCATACACAAGCCTAAGGAAATTCTTGAAAAAAAACAAAAAAACGATAACATAACATAAATATGTCATTGGGACACTGGCCTTTGACCTTTAGCGCTGCAATCCTTGGCCTACGGGAGGTTATGAACTACAGTGGCCACTCTTCCGGTTTCTGACACACCACTTAGAACCCATGCTCTGTTTTGCAAGGACTCGCCCTGCGAGACCAGTTCATGCTTCTGACTGTCTGGCTTTTCTCAACCATTGGAAAATCATATTGTAAATAATTCAGCACTCAGCATCCAGCGTATTTCATCACTGTCTTGGAAATCAACAAATGAGAGGCATGCTACTTCAATTTAGAAATTAATCCCTCTCACAATAACGTTGCTACTCCAATTAAAGTTTTAAAAGTTGGTGCCACCATGTGCACGCAGCCAAAAGACAACACTAAAGTATCATTGCTGAGTCAAGATCAAGTCCCTTCCTGTCCACAGGGTTACCTCGTTTGACGCCCCATTTTGTCGTAATGGGCGCTGCATTCGTGGCTTCCAGATACAGGTAGAGTTTCATCGTTTTTGGCTCATTGAGGCTTCAGAAAGCAGTGTAAGATGCAAAAAGAAATACCTTTTTTCGCGCTGGATATGGTGACCCCATTACTTGGGTAGTTATGCTACCAAGAGGAACCCCAGAACATCTGAGAGCCCCACAGATCCCCAAATGGGCCCCTTAAAACCACAGCCAAGGATGTCTGCAAAAGCGATTCCATAAAAGTAACATAAAAAAAAAAAAAAAGCTGAAAGCCAACTTAAACACGTAATGGAAGCACTGCGTTATTAGCAGGACTGCCTGGCCCTCTCAGGACTGCCCAGCCTCCATGCTTAATTAATACCACATGTCCCCTTTACCGTTCGATTTGTTCCGCAGCACTCCTCTCAACTTGAACCCCGGTCTGCAAAGACTGGAGAGTAACCCCCCCCCCCCCAAGAAAACTTCAGATCAGTAAATCTAAAATGCGAAAGAAAGGGCAAGAAAGCTCCCACCGCAAAGACCACACTTACAATCGGAGAGGTAACCACACCCACCGCATTGCAGAAGCTGTGAACTTGGCGTCGGGTGCAGGGGGAAGGGGGAATGGGAAGAAGTAGGGCGCGATTAGAGGGGAACCCGAAAAAGCAAGTCCCCTGGTGAAGGAGCCCAGGCGCACCAGCCGCAACTAGCAGACACCCCACTCTAGCGCTCCCCGGGCTCCCCACCCCCACCCCGGCGGCCCGCAGCCCCAGGGCTCCAGGTGAGCCGCGCCCGCCCGGGGGTGTCGGTCTGCAGGCCCAGGCGCGTTCCCGCCCGGCGCAGGGAGCCGTCCCAGGGGCGTGCGGCCGGCAGGTGCCCAGGCCCGGAGCAACCTGGCTGGCCCGCTGCCGGCCTGGAGACGCTGCCCACTCGGGGAAGGAAGCAAGTTACGTAAAAGCGGCCGGCCCCGCTGCGGAGCCGGGATGCTCCGAGCCCCGCCGCGCCCGCACCGGGCACGGACGCAGCCGCAGCCGCAGCCCCGGGGCGCACGGCCCCTCCCGCGCACAGCCCCCGGCCTGGCGCCGCAGTGTCGCCCCGAGCCCCGCACGCTCAGAACATGGCGCCCCGACCCCGGATCCGGGCCGATGCCCGGAGAGGGGCTCGGGGCCCGGTCGCCCCTGGGGGCCAGGGCTCGGAGGAGGCCCCCAGGCCGGAGGCCGAGCGCGGCGGGCGCAGCGCACCGCAGCCCCGAGCCCCGCGCGCCTCGGGAACGAGCCCCCCTCGGAGCCCCTCGGCCGCCAAGGGCAGAAAAGTTACCTGGGGGCGGCGGGAAGGCCGGGCGCGCCGCGGCGTGGGGACCGGGCTGGCGCTGGCGTCCGGCTCGGCGGTGCGCAGGAGACTCCGCGCGGGAGGAAGCCGCAGCTCAGGGCTCCCCCGCCCCCCTTTGCAGGAGACACGGAGGCTCCGCGGAGCTGCGGCGGGGCCCACGCCCAGACACCCGAGAGAGGAGGGCCAACCTCGTCCGGACTTCCCTCCCGCGCGCGGGGGAGGGGGCCACCGCAGGTCTTCAGGACACCTAGGTTGAGCAGTCCTGAAGATGCAAGCTCCGGGAACCCGGGAACCCGGGAACCCGGCTAGACTGCTGCCAATAGCTGTAGCCCTTGGATTTGCACTTGGATTATTGCTGGGCCTCTGGGTCCTCTCCTCCCTTTACAGATAGGCTCAGTGAGAGTGGAGGGAGGCTTTTTTTTTTTTTTTTTTTTTGACCTTCCGGTGAGTTCTCTATTGGTTTAGGGACTGCAGTACACCGCTCCCCCCGCCCCCCTCACCTCCGCCCTTTTGAAATTGGAAGTGTCTTACACAGGTTCAGTACTCCAGATATTTAAGTTCATAGAGAAGACCCGAGTTAATTCGGATGATAACTAGGTTTTGCGTCTGTCAGCAGCTCCCTCCTTCCTGGTATCTATAAAGCCTAAACTGAAATGGAGAGAGGCAGAAGCACATCCCTGACTTGCTGGTCATCTCACACTCTCTGGGGGCCCAAGTCATCCTGGCATGTTTCTTTAAGGCTTCTAAGGCCTTCCTCAAATCACGTAGTTACTGGCCTGAACCCAAAACTCATCAAAGGGGAGAGAGATTCACACACTATTGAATTTATTAAGGGATGGCATAGATACAATGGCAGAAAGGAGTGGTTTTCTCTGTCAGGCGGGCCTGGGGAGATGAGCAGGCTTGGGGTGGGTATCTAGAATAGGGGCGATGTCAGTAGGAAAGGGAGGTGACATCCCATTGCTTGGCCTGAGGAGGAGGGGGGCTCTGACTGCCTACGGGAGAGAAGGTTAGACAATTGTGTTACTAGTCTGCTGTGGGGTTTAGGGACTGTGTTTGGTAGATGACACCGCATAGACCATAGAGTAGGTGGCAGATTCCAGGCTGCAGAAGAGGAGCTGATGGCCCAGATCCAAGAGCTTGGGTAGTAAGGACCCAACGTGCCTTACAACTTACATGAAACGTCCAAATATCGTCTCTGTTTGGGGGCCACTTATGTTAGTTTTGAGATGTGTATACATTGCGTGTGTCCACATCTGTGGCTGTGTTGCATAAATCCACGAATAAAGGCAGGGATTTTTTTTTCTACCTGTATGTGCACCCCGAGGGCCCCTTCTTTGGAAGTGGACATGAACGAACCGTATTATTTATAACAAACACAAACTTGGCGTTACCATTTGAGACACAGATGGCTTCATGCTTTCATTCATTTTGTTACAGTGTTTTTGTGATTTTTTAAAAGAGCTCAATGCAAACTGTTCTCCCCATGACTCATGAATCTGAATCCTTGTGGAAAAAAAAAAGAATCAGTGGTGGCGTGTGGATGACTACTTTCTAGGGAGAAAAATGGTACAATACTAAGCATTTGATCTGAAGAGTTAGGGACATCTAGCTAATTATCCTAATAATCCACACATTCAAGGACTGGAGGAAGAGCTAGGGATGGATGTAGCTAGAGTACTTGCCTGGCGCCCAGGAAGCAGCAGGATTGATCCCCAGGGCTGTATAAACCAGGCATGGCAATGCATGCTGGTAAATCTTAGGGCCCGCCCGGCTGGAGTATAAGCAGGAAGACCAGAAGTTTGAAGTATGCCTCAACTATGGAGCAAATTTTAGGCCAGCTTTGGCCTATGTGAGACAGCATCTCATGGCCGCCCCCCCCCAACACATACACACACACACACACACACACACACACACACACACAAAGAATTGGAGTAAAAGCTGGATCCTTGCCTAGTTGAATATTGAATCTGGGAAGGAATGGTTCTAATTCCCTCTGGGCACAACCAAGGCTATCAGCTGTTCCTTTTGTTTACTTAACAAAGATCCAGAAAGAAAAGAAATGCCAAACAGCCAGCTCACAAGCAGAGCATTGCTCCCTCAGTAATTTCCTTGCATGAGCTTAACTGAAGGCTCTCCATTCTGCCTTGTTACTGTTTCAGGAGACCCTGATAGTCATCTCTGTCTCCCCACAGTGCCTCAGTGGAGACATTGCAAGTCAGAACTTAAGTTTTTTGCTAAGTGAATGAATAGATGTTGAATGATGGACTATGCTACCTCTTTACTTTGAGGATTCAGTCTCTGCACACAGAAAAGACTATTTTCAAAATTCCTCATGCTTCCATATTCTAGGATTCTATAAAAGTCAAAAGACATCATGGACTGAGGAGCTACTCAGTGCTTTGTCTTGTGAGCACAAGGACCTGAAACTGACCACTCAGAACCCACGGGAAAAAGAGCCAGGCATGGTAACACATGCTTGTACTAGCAGCTCTGAAGATGGAGATAGATGTGATCCCAGGGCTTGCTAGAGAAACAGCCTAGAATAGTGGGTGAATCTCAGGCCTATGATAGACCCTACCTCAAAAGACAAGGTAGATGGCAGCACTTATGAAACAGCACCTGCAGCTGACCTCTGTCCTCCACAAGCGTGCGCACGCGCGCGCGCGCGCGCGCACACACACACACACACACACACACGTGCACGCACATAATATCGAATCTAATACCAACTGAGTGAAAGTAGTATAAAATGAAATGCTCATCTAATTCTCATTGGAAAATAAAATATCCAACTCTTCCACATCGAAAAGAGAGGGGGAAAGAGCTCCCAATAAAGCTCAGGTAAAGTGAAGATGTCAACCACAGCTGGATCTGCTGCCTTCTTAACTTCTCACATCCCTTTCACTCTCACAAATCAATCATCTTAGACCTCAGCGAAGTCCTCACTTTGCTAATGCAAATCTCGAGATGCTTTCCCAGCAAGCTACAGAGAAGTGATGCTGCAGTTCGTTTCTAACTGAGGTCTATAGCAAAGCCTCCAGGTAAAAAAGCCTTTCGTACTGTCCCAGAGCTAGTGGCCATTTTACAGGAAAATTCAGGCTTGCTTAGATGGCCTTACATACATCATGCAAACGGCAAAAAATAACCTACAAAATGCGGGGAGAGATTCCATCTCTTCAGCTTAGGTTTTAGGATGCCCATTCTGCTCTCCTCCGACACACACACTCAAGCTTACTCTACAGCACTAATGTTATTTCTACGCTGGCTATAATTGCTTTACTGCACATAATATGTATCCCTGAAGGCCAACACCGTACAGAATCCTATCTTTGGTATGGCATAAGAATGCAGCTTATCTCCGATAAAAAAAAAAATGGAGAGGCAGGGTTCCACGGGAAGCTCCATCCGTATACAAGTAGCAGCATAAGGCTGATTCATTGGTACACACAGCCCTCCGCCACCCGAACAACGGTGATTGCTCCAACTTGATAACAAAGCAGGGCAAACAGAATTTTCAGGTTGCCTTGACAGCAATGTTTGCCAGCATCATAAACAAGATACAAGAAGAAATGATGGGGATCTCACAAGTGGTCCTATCTGAAGACGTTCCAAACATAAAGACTGAAGGGATACTGAAGCTGGACCCTGGATGTGCTGCCCCATTAGGCTCACGCTATTTGTTCTCATTTGTTCAGTCTAAGCTGCGAGCTTGATAACATGTTAGCCACCTTCCCAGGAACCAGTTGGGGCCTGCTTTATGCTCAGAGGAATGCCAGGCACCTGAACCGCATTTCAAATCCTTGAAATCAGGACACGTCCTTAGCCACAGCATTATCGAAGACCGTAAATAAGAAATACGGGGATGAATGCATAATTCAAAAGCAACAAGCGTCTCCTTCTGAAATAAGAATTCATTTAAGGGTTTCTAGTTTCTAGATTCTCCGAATAGTGCTAAGCTTATAGCTCATTAAGGCTTCCAGATGCTGTCTGCATCCTGGGTGTGTATTCATTAGTTTAGAAACTGAATAGATGCATAGCACAGATGGAAGACACAATTTAAAAACCACCAATAGCTACAAATGCAAAACAAAGCGTCCAAAAAAGAAAGTGAGCATTTGCGAAGGAGCGAGTTTAACATGTTAACACACCATCAAGGACAATCATTCCTCTTCAGTAGAATTCCTTATTTGTCTCCTTTTCCTCCATACTTTTACAGAAGCCAGAAGATGGGCCAGTACACATTATGTCCCACTTGTTTAAAACATACCCTTTTAAAACTGTATCTCCTCTAAATTTTAGGACTAGGTCTTAGTACTTTTAAATTCAGCAATTTCTAACCATACAAATGTAAGAGTTATGTTAACGCTCAGTTCTTTGTAGAGGTGAAATAATTTTTTTCTTCTTTTAAATAAAAATAGGAATCCATTATGAATGTTTTTCTGTTTGGGGTTTTTATATATAATATAAAAAAAGAATTGTAAAATATGAATAATGGGAGTTGGGAGTTGGAAATTGTAATTTCATTCAATTTCCAAATGAAATAAACATACACAGAATGTTTTACTCTTAGGAGTTCTCTATTCAAGGTAAAAATGTTAGGGATGAAAGTTGCTTATATATAATATTACTAAATTCAACTTCAGAACAGATGACTTGCATTAAGCTGTTCCAAGATGCTTCACATTTTTATCATTTTCTACCCTCCCTCCAAAGACACACAATACCAGCCACCTCTGTGTCTCTCATACAGCTGTCAATGACCCTCATCACCGATTACATTTCTTCCCAGTGGCTGTGAAGAATTAACTAAGAAATGAGAGGCATCCAGAGGCTGGCTTGCTGACTTGCCAGCCATCTCCAGGTTTGCATTGCCCTCTTTAGGCAAGCCTGTGGTGGTGGCTCAAGAGGGAAAGCTTTGTTTCCTAGTTTGCTGCTGTCAACCAGCACTTTTCCCTCGTTCTCCTGCTCACTGACCTGTTCTTGTCCAGCATGGGCCCGCCCTGAAAATGTGATTTCATTCTAGTCCACAGCTTCCATATTCCCTTAAGAATCAATGAAAATGTTATTTAAAATGTCTGCATCACTTGAAATCAGTTCATGTGATAGGTCCAGGGCATTTGAAAACAACCATAGCTGCTGCCTCTGCCCATAAATGCCTGGATATTCAGGGCCCACTCATTGCACATGGTACACATTGGAAAGAATCTCGGAGCTTCCCAAACTAGATTGAGTACAAACTGCGTCCTAAGCTGTTTCTGTCTCAGCAACAATTTACACCATTTATGTCAGAATCACCTTGAGTTCTCATTAGTAATGAATTTTTTTTTCTGGGTGGAGGCCCAGACTAAGCAAATCAAAAGACATAGGGTAACAATTTCCCAAGTGATTATAGCTCACTTAA